TTTTAATAGAAATTTTTCAAAAATACTCATTTATCATTTTATTTAATTATACCTACGTAAATAAGTTAATTTAAAATTTATCAAAATGCACGAATGTGCGAACAACAATTGAAATGAATTTATTAGAATATATTATGTATCGTTAAAAATATTTAAAATTATCGATATATGATATAAATAAATAAATAAATAAATATATATATATATATGTATATAAATATTGCAATCTAACTTTTATAGATCAAGTTAAAAGTATTGCTCCATTTTTTTTTTGTTTTCTTTTTTTTAGAAGCAAAAACGAAATTATTTAATATTCATATTCGTCTTTATGTTCATGCGATTGCGTAGTATTTAAAAAGTCTCATATTTTGATCGAAGCTTTCACTTTGATATGAAGTTTCTCTCATTGGCACATTTTATTAATTTTATATATTCTCTTCTCATTCCATTAATTTTGCCTTTTTCTTTTTCAAATCCGTTCCATTGGAAATTATTCTTACGAATTGAAAGACACTTTGAATTATTGCGATGCTTTTTCTATGAGAAATAAATAAAATAAAATAAAATAAAAAAAATAATAATAATAAGAAAAAATGCAATCAATCTTTATACAAATTAGAAATAAAACAAACAAAAAAAAAAAAAAAAGATAAATTAAAGTTAAACTTACTATCATTAGATTTATTTGATTGACTTAAATTAGGCTGAGATGGTTTTGAAGAATCATGCTGTTTTTCCTCCTGATACGTTAATCAAAATGCACAATTATTTTTTTATTTATCAAATGACATATAAAAATATAATATTGTAAGTGAATTATTTTGTTATTTATCTGATTTTGAAATAGTATATTACATACCTAGGGCGGTAAAGTAAGAAATATCTCAGAGCACATGTAATTGTTGTCCAAGGCGAAGCTGAGGTCAATGAACATGTGCTCTGAGGCTTTTTTATTTCTTGCCCATGGTGTGTATACTTTTTTTCTGCTCGATGTAAGCGGAAAGTGGCAACCTTGTTTTGCACAGCGGCTGGAAAGTTGACACTTTCCTTACGGAGTTGTGAAAAACTTTTTTTTATTACTCATGCGGGGAAAGTACTATTTTTTCGGTCGCTATTGGGAGGTCGGAAAGACTCTGTTTACAATAACACTGTTTGAATACGTTATCGATCTTGGTGAAAGGAAACTTCACTCGAAAATTGGAGGGAAACGAATATTACGTTGTTTAAAAAGAACGAAGTTTCGTTATGCAAATAAATTTATTTTAAATTTTTGATCTTTTTCAGTAAAGCTTCCTGAAAAACCGGGACTCTGCCCTCGATCTCATGGATGTGCAAAACATGTTCCCACGTTGGTAATAAAAAATAGTTTAGCCAACAAGGATAAAGTTTATAACCAATTTGAACGTATGCGCGCACTCGATTTCTTGGTATGCCCCGCTTCGCCCATATGGGTATTGCAAAACTTTTCGCATTAGGAAAGAAATATAAGTTTACCTCTTTATTAGCAGCTAACTTTTCCAAAAGAGGATAATCCATGTAACTGCCGTCCTTCATAGGACAAGTTATATCTTCAGGAGATGGACTAACGTCTTTTGAAGAACAAGATGGTTCATTGATACAAAAATCTTTCGACGGGAATGATTGACTTCGATTTAATTTACATTCCTCAGGTAATTTTCTAGTATATGGTGTAAACTTTTGTGATTGCTTTTTCCTATAAGATTTCATTAAGTCAACAAGATTTTCATTTAAATACGACACTGGTTGTTTAACTCTTTGTTGAGGAGTTGTAATCGTATGACTTCCACCGCAATAACGATTGCAACCATCATCGCTGGAAAAATCAAAACATAAGAAAAAAACGAAAAAATCAAACCGCGTAATATTTGTAAATGTAATTTGTAGAAAAAAAAAACAATGAAAGAGACAAACCTAGTTGATTGTTCGTTAGACGGTTTGTTTACATCGGTGTATTTGCTCTTCATAAATTCTGCCATTACTGCCTCGTATTTTTTCATATTTTTAAAATTAGACCATGGTTTTTGTTGCTTTCTAATTTGATCCAATTCATAAGTCAGATAAGGTCTTATGCTTCTACGGGGTGGTATAAAAGGTGATTCGTATCTTCTAATATCTTCCATTCTCATAGTTGTGTCTTTATTGCAGGATAAACATTGTACTCCGCTGATTAATTATTAAATAATTAATTATTATTTTTTTTTTTAAATGTACTAAGCAAAAGTTTTAACGTGAATAATGAAAAATAAACGTGCGACATTTAAAACACATTACCTGAGCTTTTTCTTCGTAGCGGCAGCTTCCTTTTCCTGTTTTTCTTTGATCATTTTTTCAACTTTTTCCCTAAGCGAACTAAATTGCTTACTAACACTTGTTTTTAATGGTTCAACTTCGATTTTATTTACTTTCTTTTCTATCTCTTTTTGTAACTCTGTAACATGTCCCACCATAACAGAATTTTGTTGATTCATCTGTTCCATAGCTTGTTGTATTTCTTGTGTTAAATCGTTACAGGCAGTATCAAATTTGTCGTGTGAAACCTAAATACATATTTTGTTATTTATTATTAGTCATTTATATAATTATTATAACATAAAGTGTGATTAAATTGTTTTTTTTTATTTTTTTTTTTTTAAATCATTCTCAAACCTTTCTGTTTAAAGTATCAGTGTCAGCTTTATCAGCTAAACTACTTTCAACGAGTTCCTTATCAGCTTTCATTGTTTGCAAATATTTTAATTGTTCCAGCATTCTCTAAATTTCAAATAAATATTAATTATATATATATATTATATTATATTATTTTTTTTTGGTAAGTTTAATATAATTTAATCTTACGTTTAGACTCTCATTACGAATTGACGTATCATTCATAAGATAATTAGCAGTTTCATTTAATTTTCCAATATCTTCTTGAATTTCTTCTATTTTTAAAATCATATTTTGAAGATCGTTTACTTCTGAATCTTGTGTTAATTGATTTGTACTTTTCATAGTATCCATTATAAGACTATTATTTGTTTCTATTTTTTGTAAACGTTCCTCAAGATGAACGTTTAAAAATCTTTGCATTTTTTCTATCATATGAGGTATATCTTTATTGTCAAGGTGTGGTATACTCGTTGATAATTGTTTCAATTCTGTATCTATTTGTTCTTGGTGTTCTTTTAATAAACTTATTTCAACGTGCAATTTGTATATCTCATTATCCAGGGTTGTATCAAGATCTTGACATCTTTCTAAACATATTTGAATGAAATTGTCTTTAATATCAGTTATCTCATCTTCTACGTCACTTTTACTAGCAGTTCTTTCATCTTCCTTTTCTTTACTTTCTGTAAAACAAAATTCATTAAAAAAAAAAATATATATATTCAATTAATCGAAATACATTTTTAATCAACGTGAGTTTTATATGACATATTATATATCATATTTTGCAAAGAGTATTATAAAAAATATAAAAAAAAAAATAAAAACAATTATTAGGTGATTCGGAAAGTCGTTTCGTTTTTTGCTGACACAATAATGGGTTGCATTAGTTAATGCAAACCGACAAATAGTAACACATAACGTTTTGTTTAGAAAATGACAAAATTAATTGAATCTCTGTTTTACCTGGAACAGGTTTATGAGTATCGGTTATGATTACATCTTCAACATTAGTATCTATAATCTTCTTATCAGTTCTCTTCGTAGTTTGTGTCATGTGATGAGCAACACTTTTAATATTTTTTTCATTTTTAATTACTTCTTGGATCATCGATGTAAGCTAATTAACAATTATAATTTTGATTTAGTATAATGATCAAGAAAAAAATAATAATTATAATAATAAAAAATATTGTTTATTATACCTTACTGATTCCTTGTTCAGCTGCATCAAGTCTTTTGTTAATGTTAATAATATTCCAAACGTCTGTTAATGGATCCTTAAGATTACCTTTCAATCGTTCAATTAATTCAGAATTAGTTGACAATTCTTGCAATACTTCGAATTGTTTCTCAAGACGTTTGACCTGCAAAATATTTTCAGATGATGTTTTAATAAAAAGATTAGTATTTTTAATATAATCTATTATATATATATATATATATATATATATATATATTTACGTTTTCTTCAAGTTTTTTAAAAGCAGAAGCAGTTGGAGTTAAACCATTGACAATTGGTTCGACAGAAACACGACTGTCCATATTATTTTCCAAATCTATACTAATCGATTGATTAAAATCTTTCATTTTGTCATCAGAAGAATCAACTGTTTTTTGTTGTTCATCTTTACGAGGTGAAACAGGTGCACTGGCCGATTTTCCAACAATGTTTTCATCTATAAATCAATGAACAATTAAACTTGTTTAAATTTGTTCAAATTAATTTCATGAGAATTATAATAAGATTTTACCTTGTTTGATAACGTCAATGTTTACTGCAAATTGATCTGTACTACGAAAACGTTGTTTTATTTGATTAGATCCATTAACAATTATGTTCTCGTAAAGGTGCATATTTGGACCAGATTTAGATGAAGCTATCACATTCTGTAATAATAAATTATAAATAAAATAATAAAAGTATTAATATAATATAAATAAAATGATCGTACCTTAATTCGTTTGGCATCATCTCCACGAAATTCAACCCTAGTTGTTCTAAGATTCATTTGTTGCAATAAAACATGAAGAAAATTGTGTAAAATGTTCAAATTAATTGCACCGACCTAAAAAAAAATGGGTATAATTGTTGTTACACTTGAAATATTAATATTATAATTTTATAAATTACTTACTTCTGGTGTTCCCAGAGCAAGATCCAACAGTTGGGGTAAACTGACAGCAACGGTTGACCAATTATTTTTCTTCGTTTCTTGTCTAGTCTTTTCTTCCTCAACATCTGATGCAGTAGTAGCAGCCATTTCTTCACATAAATAATTTATTTCTACAAAAAAAAAGGGTAGTATAATATTTTTTATAAAATCAAATATTTCTAATTAGTTAACCGAACAATTTCACATGGTTTTATTTTTTTTTTTTTTTTTTCGAAGAAGCAAAAATGACTTCTTTGGGAAGATAATTGATCAGATTAAGAAATGTACACATTGAAAAGTGTCACGTGAAAAACACCCCCCCAGCAAATACTATTATTTATTTCCAAGAAACGAGAAAATTATTCTTTGGGGGATGAAAATGATGGTCCACATGTTACTACGTCGGTCAAAACCTACCTGAAAACCACTCGATTCACGAAATTTTACCCCACCTGCCAAATTTATCAGACATTTCTATTATCACTTATTGGATAACGTTTGAATTACTTCATATCATGTGAAGATATCTAAAAATTTGATGGATTAGGTTTTATTTCAGAAATATCGGCAAAAGTAGACCTGGTAGGGTGAACGATATTTTGAATAAAAAAAATAAAATAAAATAAAATAAACTACGTTTTTTCAATTTTTTTAAATAAAATACCCACGGCTAGTTCGTACTCTTAATATTTCCATTTGTTGATAAAATAGACAACATTTCAAGGCTAAATTCTATCGATTATTTATTTTATCAACCATCGGTATTTTTGGTTTACTTTGAGAAAGGATTTATTGATTTTTTTTTGGTAAGGTTTTCTTTGAAGTTAGGAGACAAACTGGATAGCTGGAGCCACAGATACATTTTGACGATAAACAAAATTCTTCATTAATTAAATAATGTTCATACGACATGTTTGACTTTCAAAACTAATAGTAATCTTTTAAAAATATCCTCTTAACAAACAAACAAAAATTAAAAGAAAAGATAATATTTTATATTTTTAATTGCAAAGTAATTGAAGGAAAAAGAACAACTAGAAGAACAACAAAAAAAAAAAAAAAGAAATGATAATAGTTTAGGATAAAGTTAGTGCTAGAGTATCCACTAGGACATAAATAAATTTTGTCATTTTTACAAAATTCAAATAGCAACCTAAATATTTTCTCCCTTACTTAATTAAATTACTACTACTACTACTACTACTACTACTACTACTGAAAATATTTTACATTAATTCGACTAAAATTATTGTTCTATATTTTTGTTTTTAACAAGCATCTTTTCAAGTATATTTTTTGACTTCTCAAAAAAAAAAAAAAACAAACAAACAGTGTCTTAATTAAAATACCGTTCTAATTGAAACAGTACAATCAAAAATCTTATTTGTTATTTAAAAAAAACCAAAATCAAACTATTAAAATTAAAAACGTCAGATCATTAAATACAATTACACGAATTGAAGATATCATAAATCAGTTAATATTGTTTTAATTAAAATA